AAGTGCCCGGCGTTGCCCGTGGAATTAGAAAAAAAAATCGAAATCGATTTTTTTTAGCCTATATTACCCCCAGGGTACCCAATGGGTTCCCTCATAAAAATTTAGCCAATTTGGTCCAGCCATTTGGCCAGAGAGAGAGAGAGAGAGATAGAGAGAGAGAGAGAGAGAGAGAGAGAGAGAGAGAGAGAGATATCTTTCAAGTAAACAAATAAAACCGAGAAGAATATGATTATTAAAGATTTTTGTTTGCATGCTACATAAATGCGTCAGTCACTTTTAAAAAGTAACCACAATTAAAAGTTATCAATTTGGGGATAGAAAAACAAGGCTTTCGTCATATTTTTTGCTTAGACGAAACTAGGTTTAAAGAGAAGCGTTATGTCTCTTTAAAGAGTGTATTTCCTACTTCTCTGTTTTCAGGATTAAAGTATACAATAAGTTTGAATCGATGAAGATCCAAGAATCTACATTAAGCTAATGGTCCATTACATTTAGTAGATCCATTAAATCCATGCAGTCTTTATTAGATTAGAACATTTACCTAAATAATCCAAACAAGAAATTTTACTTTAACTCAACTATCATTAAACTATAGGAAAACTAAAAATTGCAGTTCTTAGGTTTTATATCTTTTTTTTCCAAATCAAAACATTTTGCTGGATATTGATAAATTAAAAAAAATGTAGTTTAAAAATGGTTCCAAGGAACTGATCAAGTTTTTGTAACAATTTAAAACTTGTAAAATGAAAATGAAAAAAGTTTTGAGGTGAAGAATTAGAAAAGTGTAAAAGTTTGGTTCGTGTGAACAATAAGTTCAATCCTGTCCTGTCTTTACAACATTTAAAATGAAGAGTCTGCACTCAACATGAAGTTTAGAAGATAGGAAAGGAATTGAGTCCTTGTCACACACCTACTTTTAATCCTATATTCTTGCAACCTGATGGTGCTTTGATACTTTGATCTAACAGAAACAGATATAGAATCTACGAGATTCAAAGATGAAAAATAAAACCAATTAAGAGAAAAAGAAAGAAAGAAAGAATTAAAGATGGAGAATTAAACAAGATTAAGAGAAAGAAAGAAACAAAGAATTAAGATGGAGAATATAACCAAGATTTATAGAAAGAAAGAAAGAATTTAAGATAAAAAACAAAACTAAAATTAAGAGAAAGAAAGAATAAAAGATTGAGAATAAAACCAAGATTAAGATAAAGAAAGAAAGAATTAAAAATGGAGAATATAACCAAGATTAAGAGAAAGAAAGAAAGAATTTAAGATGGAGAATATAACCAAGATTAAGAGAAAGACAGAAAGAATTTAAGATGGAGAATATAACCAAGATTAAGAGAAAGAAAGAAAGAATTAAAGATGGAGAATATAACCAAGATTAAGAGAAAGAAAGAAAGAATTTAAGATGGAGAATTAACCAAGATGAAGAGAAAGAAAGAAAGAATTTTAGATGGAGAATTAACCAAGATTAAGAGAAAGAAACATGAAGAATCCTAAAGAATTGAAAATTGAAAATCTGCACGCATCTTAAAAAATATAAAGAATATACATGAATAAATGAATGAATCGGCAAAAATCGTCTTTAAATAAATTAACTTCAGAGTAGAAAAAAATTCAGACTAGTAAGAATATGTCACAATCTTTCTAAACCATTGTTTGTAATGAGTTTACAATAGCAGCACATTTAACATATTCTTGTTATTAACACTATATAAATATTTATATGGAGTATGAATTACAAGGAATGTCGTTTAACCATTTGCTTATAAAGTATATATCCAATACATACATTCTCTGAAAAAAGCGCAGATTTAAGAAATATAACAATAAAATTGGAATTACACTTTAATGTCCTTGTGATATTTCTCCCAATAAATCATACAAAGGACATTTAATTAATCCGGGGACAATAGGATTTATTATTAAATTATTATCAACACGCAGCATAAGATGTTCATTTAAACCAAGAAAAAGTTCAAATATTTTCAGTTTTCTTAAATACGCCCAAACAAGGCGGACTGACTTTTATATTTTGACGAAACATATTTTTTATGACGAATTTTTATGTTTTCGAATAAAGTGTTTCAAAATGGATTATTAATAATCATTTTGCTATATTTAAAATTCTTTTTCGCTTATGATAGTAAATTAATTTTTACAAAAACGTGATGTGCTAAATAAATCACAAGTTTGAAATAAAAAAAAAATATTTAAAAAACCTGATTTTAAAACGCGTTTTGATATTATCTGAACGTTTTGATTCCACCCTTAATTAAATCCCCCCTAAATCATTTCGCAATCTATATAAATAATTTTTTAGTTGGGGGGGGGGAGGGAAAGGATTTTTTTGGAAAATATGTACCCCTGGAGTGAGACCAGGGCCACAACATGATCAAACTTCTGGATCAATTTAAAATCAACAATCTGTGTTGGTTCCTAATGTCCGTGAGTTATATCCCTGGTTGGGCCAAGAATCCAACTATTCCAATTCAAGTTTGGTGTCAGCTCGGCTCCAATGCCAGAGATAATTTTACATTAATTTATCTCCCGAGAAAACTTGAGAAGGGGTGGGGGGAGGGGAGAGAAACTTGAGGAAATCCAAGATGGAGGAGATTTGGATTAGGAAATCTACGAAGGGGAGGGGGCAGGGGAGAGAAACTTGAGGAAATCCAGGATGTTAGGATCAAATGTTGAGGTCATAAATAAAAAGAATGCCAAGAAAAAATTGCCCCCCCCCCCCCCGGCTGGTTTACATAGCTATACCTACATTGCATAGCTAACATTCAGTATTATTACATTAGTCTAATTGAAATGGATGAATTAAGTTAGTACCATTATTTAATACCGAGATCCCAAGGGAATACATGTTTGATTTCTCAACACACCTGAGCCAGAGTCTACAACTAATGAACGAATAGCTGAGTTAAACCATATGATAATAAATGAGATTTAATATTTCTTCATAATCATGAAGGAGTCAGTATTACTTTAGTTCCTCTTAGTTTGTATCACTTTCACTGCCATTATTCTTCTTCATGGTCAATTTCTCTTTCACAGGTTTTATCCTTATAATAGTCCTTAAACACTGAACACTGCCAAGAACTCTTTCCTGTAATATAGACTATCTTATCATTTATTATCCCTTTCATTTCACCTAATTCAGTTATATTGCCTAAACTATTTTTTTTATATTCAGAGACATCTCCAAATAACTGAACCATGTTAAATTTAACTAAACCTTTTCTAATTTACCGAGCTGTATGTATTCCCTGAATCCTTTTATATTCACTGAATCCTTTCATATTCACTGAATCCTGTCATATTTACTGAATTCTTTCATATTTACTGAATTCTTTAATATTCACTGAATCCTTACATATTCACTGAATCCTTTCATATTGACTGAATCCTTTCATATTTACTGAATCCTTTCATATTGACTGAATCCTTTCATATTTACTGAATCCTTTCATATTTACTGAATCCTTTCCTATTCACTGAATCCTTTCATATTCACTGAACCCTTTCATATTTACTAAACTCATTTAGATTTACTAAATCCTTTGATATAAACCAAATTCTTTTATATACAGTAAGTCCTTTCATATTTATTATTTACTGAATACCTTCATATTCACTGAATCCTTTCATATTCACTGAATCCTTTCATATTCACTGACGTTATTTATATTCACTAAATCCTTTTATACTTACTGAATCCTTTCAAAATCACTATCACATTCATATTGGCTTTGTCCCTTAGTACTGGCTATACTGAACTTATTTATATTCCTTGAATCCTTTCATATTTACTGAACTCTTTCATAACACACTCACTAAACTCTTTCATACTATATGAACCCTTTAATACTCACCGACTCTTTTCATATTAAAAAAAATCCTGTCATATACACTAAACTCTTTCATATGCATCTAACTCTTTCACACAGTAACTGTTTCATGTTTAGTGAACACTGAACACGTCTGTCGTGCAACATTATCCGAGTTTATAATCCCTATATATTTGCAACCTAATGTCGTAGACCTTTGATATTTCAAATTATGAATTCTGTTAGATCAAATGTCCAAGTTGTAATGTTTTAAAATATCAAAGGTTTACACCATTAAGTTGCAAAGATTTAATGATAAGAAAATTTGAGTTTGTGGCAAAAACTCTGCTTCTTTCCCTTCTCAGTTCTCCTCTTTAATATTTCTGTGAATGGTTTAGTGTTGTAAAGGAGGAGTGGTATAATATATCACAAGACTTATTTTATATTAATGATGCTTTTACAAATTCAAAGTGGTGAAGGAAGATTTTCATTTGGTAGGATTCAGAGGAAACAAAATGAAAATATATCTATAAAATATATGTTATATTATGCTAGGCTAGTAATAATCTTAGCTTTATGCACTCTGTTCGCAGATTTTTCTCCTTTTATTTGGTAGATTTTCAAAATTTTAATCCGATTGGTTCAGACGTTTTTATCTTTATTAGATATAATCATACACACAGAGTACAGACAGAAAAGCCAAATATTATATATTAAGATTATCTGTAGAACTAATAATTGTTGCACCAAGAAGCTAATATTATTAGTCTCTGTATCTGTATCCTTGAATAGATATGAATAAAGATGTATACAATATATTGTATTATTGGGGATACCATTACATACATTGCTGAGTAGATAAACTTCCAATATCAATATTTTCCATCATAAAGATAAAGAAAGACATCATCATAACATTATTACTCCATCGTAACGGGCAAAAATAAGGAACAAATAATGCAAAAATAAATTCTTTCTTTATCTTTAACAGGGATGTATATTTTCTTTAAATAATAACCCCCCCCCCCCAAGAAATTAAGTAGGTTTGTTTTCAGGGCTTTAATCCCTGAATAATAAATTTCAAACATATCAATTGATTTTAGATCTACTTTTGTAGTCAGCCCTAGAAATAATATTCATCATCGGCTTGTAGACGGGTGAATACTATACATATACATCCTAGCTCTAATTTGAATTAAGAAACTAGTAAGTTTAGGATATATTAGTTTATATTCGAAATGGAAGAGAAAATTTCAATTCACTCTGTTTATTAAATTATAAAATGTTGTGAAAAAGCGAGAGATTGAAGTTTGTAGCAGCATATTAGGTTTCCTCCACTGGAGCGGAGGCCACTGGTTGGAAATTGTTTCCACCGGAGGGAATGACTTTTTTTATTCAATGCTAATAACTCCATCAGAGGGATGGTAATTTACACTTAAAACACTAATTTTACTTTTTCGGAGGGATGATACTTAACACTCAGAACACTAATTACTCCACATAAAATATGGTAATTAGCACCCAGAACACTAATTACTCCACCAAGAGACTTATTACTCTACAGGAGGGATTGCAATTAACAGTCAGAACACTAATTATTCCACCAGAGGGATGTAATTAACTCTTGGGACACTAACTACTCTACCGGAGGGATGGTAACTAACACTCAAGACACTAATTACTCCATCGAAAATGCCAATTAACACTCAGGACACTTAATTACTACACCGGAGGTATGTTAATTATCGTAAGTCCTAATTACCATCTATTATGTGGAGTAATTACCATCCCTCCGGTGGAGAAATTAATGTCCTGAGTGTTAAAAACCATCCCTACGATGGAGTAATTAGTGTCATACAACATAATCAGCACATATAGTATTTTTCATCATTGAACTCTTGAATGTCAAAAACTTTTAAAACTATTTTATTTTTTGTTTTTGTTTTAAGTCCTTTTTACCTTTTTGTGATTGCATTCCGTATTGTTAAAAGAACACCACTGCCTGCAGATCCAGCACCGCAAATAACAAATTTCTAAATACAAAACGGTGTTCGAAGTATATTAAACATGTATTGCCATTTTGTAAAACATGATGCGTTGTTTACCAGCAATTTTACAATTTTTTTGAAAATGTGCGACAATTTCCTTTTAAGTTCCTGAAAACTATTTGTAAAATATATAATTATATATTGCTTCATTTGAGCTAAATAGACGTATGTGTCCATTATTATAAAATTTGGAACAAAATATTTAACTGCACGTGAATAAGTATAAATCCCACCTCTCAAAAAAAACATACAATCCGGTATTATAATATCCCTACTTGATTGTTAGCAATCCTTTCAACTAACTCTATGTGTTGCTTTCTTGAAAAGTTGCTCATAAAACAATTATACCTGGTCCTTTAGAGCCTCAGGGCCTAAACCCTGAACTCGGAGTGCTCCGTAGAGACCGGCCAGAACAGTTGCAGCTGTTCCTTGAATGTCGTCGTTGAACATCAGATAATCCTGCTTATACCTGACAAAAAATAAAAATTTTAAAACTTCCTTCGCCATCGATTTTGAAACGTATTGGCCAGGGAAACCACCGAAAACTTCCTGATCAGGGGCGAAATAGATATACATTCTCCCCCCTGTTTACAACTCTTCCATTCAGAGATTAAAGTACACATTTTGAGTATATTTTAAGAAGGTGGTTACCGGTGTAAGGTCAATGTTTTTAGGAGAAAATGAGTGCTTTATCTTAAGAACAATAAATGTAGAAAGAAAGAAAATATGAAAAGTATTTTACCTCATAAGCAGTTTGATCGCGTGCTTGGATTGGAAATCTTCAAACTGAATGAGAGCACGGGGCCAACTAAATAATTATTCTTGGTTTTATACAAATCATATATATATTTGTATGATTTTTTTATTGGAAATATTTACCGGAGCTTGATTGCAGCCATGAATTCATCAATTAGTTCATAATACTCCTCGCCCTCCATTCTAAATACATAAACCTTAATGTATATTTAGCTATTAGTACACTGTACAGTCCACAGTGCACAGTGTAACTGTACATTGTACATTGTGCAATGTGCATTGTACATTGTACAGCTAGCACAAGGTATTTTTTACTAAAGGGTATCATAAGATACTGGTTGGTTTAGACCAATATATCTGTTACAGTATACACAAGATACTTGACAATAAGATATCTGTTACAGTTTACACAGGTTACTTGACACTAAGATATCTGTTACAGTTTACACAGAATACTTGACACTAAGATATCTGTTACAGTATACACAGGATACTTGACACTAAGATATCTGTTACAGTATACAGAGGATACTTGACACTAAGTTATCTGTTACAGTTTACACAGGATACTTGACAATAAGATATCTGTTACAGTATACACAGGAAACTTGACACTAAGAAATCTGTTACAGTATAAGTATACACAGGATACTTGACACTAGATATCTGTAAAGCTGGGTTGCTTGAGACCAAAATATCTGTAATCCTGCTAAGCTTGAGACCAAAATGTCTGTAAACTTGAGTTGCTTGAGACCACGATATGTGTAAACCTGGGTTGCTTGCCACCAAGATATCATTATACCTGGGTTGCTAGAGACCAAGATATCTGTGTACCTGGGTTGCTAGAGACCAAGATATCTATGTACCTGGGTTGCTAGAGACCAAGATATCTGTGTACCTGGGTTGCTTGAGACCAAGATATCTTGGGTCGGCCAAAAGTTTCTTGTTTGCAGTTCCAGTATCAATAACACAGGGAAGAACTCGCCTGAAATATAGATTAGATCACAATATAGTTACAATAGTAATCAAACAATTGATATTAAGTAATCCAAAACCTTCCCAATTTGTGTTTTGCGATTATCATAATAATTGTGTGCTGTGTCCACTGCACAAATAATACTAATTTGCGAATCAACATTTAAAACAAAACTAACCTAGGATGGAAACCACCAGCGGCGACGTAGAGATCTAGTTTTCCGATAGAGATTCCTAGACCTCCTATCCCTAGATCTCCTAAACCAAGAACCCTAAACATAGCAATATGTTTCGCCTAGTCTTCATAGAATTAGATCTAGATCCAGATAATCTACATACACACCAAAAATACACCTAAACTATCAATTATGAAAATTCTAATGATCAATCGGAACATCATTAAGATTACTCCTGTTTGGTGTTTGTTGGAATTTACAGTTTGTACTGAATATACACGAGTACATACCCCTTTTTATTCTTAAAGGGACTGTAAAGGAAAAATTAAAGGGGGTATAGGATAAAACCTGAAAATCTCAGGTTATGAACGATACCTTTAAGACATCTATCTTATGTTTCTGTCTCAAGAAATTGACATAAAACTGTGTCAAAATTATACCGAAACGGACATATGTCAGATTTTGTTTAAAAGTTGTAGCATTAAACAGATCATATCAACAATTACGCAACCAATCTAAAAACGATTATATCCCACAGGAGCCTGAGAATCTCAGGTTTGCTCATATTATAATTTTTTATTTAGCATTTTTCATGTACATAATTGATAATATTATTACATATAGTCCCTATAGTCCGTATTACGTCACAATAACTTCAGCCAATGACAGTACAGTATCGTTGTCACGTGGTATAGACGGAAATCACGTGACCAGTATATTGCACTGCCATTGGCTGAAGTACTGGTGACGTACTACGGATTATACGGATTAAATGTAATAATATTATCAATTATATCTATAAAAAATGCAAAATAAAAATTAAATAATTATAACTGGAGCAAACCTGAGATTTTCAGGTTGCTGTGAGTTATAGTCGTTTTCAGATTGGTTGCGTAATTGTTGAATATGATCTGTTTAATGCTACAACTTTTCTTTAAAATCTGACATATGTCCTTCATGGTATAATTTTGACACAGTTTTATGTCAATTTCTCGAGACAGGAACATAGGACAGATGTCTTATAGGTATCGTTCAAAACCTAAAATTCTCAGGTTTTATCCTATACCCCCTTTCATTTTTCCTTTACAGTCCCTTTAAGTAGAATACTGAAATTTTATATTTTACAGAACAGAAGAAAATATATTATAGGAAACCTCTTTGTATCATCTTTGATGAACAAATTTGATCTATATTTTGTTTCATTTTATATCGAAACCTTTCAAATAATCTCAAACAATTTTTTTTCAATTGAATTTAAGACAAATATGATTTTAGATACTATTGAACAATAAAAAATAATATTCTTATAGATAAAGCATAATCTATTTATGTTAGCGCTTCTTTTTGAAATGAATCATTTATTAGTTATATGGAATATATCCAAAACATAAATGCAAACAAAAAAATAAAAAAAATGCCTTTCAAGAAACAAAATATTAAAGATTTTACATTTCATGTTAAACAAGAGATGAGGCAATAAATGTTGGAATTAAATAAGATTTGTTTAAGATTGCCTCATAATGTTAGTGCAGTGCATTAAGTTATTAATGTTTCTGGTTCGTGGATATTGAATAAGATTAACATTGTATGATGTATGCATTGTTTAGTAAATAAAATATATATATATATATCAGGCATCATCAATGATATAATAAAAATGACTGCTGAGAAGTTTCTTGAACTAATAAATGATAAATTACTGGAATATATTGTTTCTCGAGATAGAAATTGATTCATACAATCATTAGTCTCCTCATCATTCTTCTTATATATCACGAGATATACAATAGTAAATAGATATACAATAAATATATAGATGTACAAGACATTTATCGAATAGATATATATAGGCAACATATATTACAGAAATACAATAAAAATATACATTGCCCCTTAATTATTACCTGAATCCATCAGTAACAACAACTGTGTCCCCATTGTCTCTTTATTATTACCTGGATCCATCAGTAACAACAACTGTGTCCCCATTGTCCCTTTATTATTACCTGGATCCATCAGTAACAACAACTGTGTCCCCATTGTCTCTTTATTATTACCTGGATCCATCAGTAACAACAACTGTGTCCCCATTGTCTTTTTATTATTACCTGGATCAATCAGTAACAACAACTGTGTCCCCATTGTCTTTTTATTATTACCTGGATCCATCAGTAACAACAACTGTGTCCCCATTGTTCCTTTATTATTACCTGGATCCATCAGTAACAACAACTGCGTCCACCTCGTCGCTCTCCCAGTTATAAACCATGCTTGCCATCTCCCCCTTGTCGTCAGGACAGAAGTACATACCACGTGGACGCCTGGCAATACAATATATATACTATACAGCTGAGTCACACTGTTAGAATACTAACGTAGTGTCCAAAAATTACAAAACTTTGAGAACATTACAAAATTTATCAAAAGTTTCATATTTAATTGGAAAATCTTTTTTGTTGAAACCTTTTTCCTCAGCAATAAACAAATCCATTAGACTTGGATTGTCTGGGGTTAATGTTGTTAAACCATTACAGATGTTATTTTATTGATAGGGTCGAGTATTTGTTCGCCAAGATCATTCCTTTACCAGGAAATTAAAACCTACATTTTCTGCTGGATTTTAATAACAGAGTCAGTTTTTAAGCTGCCCTTTTCATTTCCTTATTGTTGGCATTTCCTCAAAATCCCAATCTCAGGAATCAAAATTCAAGTTGCTAACATGTTCTCAATTCAAAATTCAAATTTTAAGCGAGTTCCAAATTTTAAATGTCTAGTAAATTTTACAAAATTCAAATTTCTGGTATTTTCTTGTAAAAACTCCAAATTTGGTTGACCCTGTACAACAACCCTATATTACCTGTAAAGATGGGAGAAATGAGAGCAAGCCCAGCCTACAGTTGGAGTATAGATAATAGGAGCCTGTAATAAAACAAAAGTTTTGAAATTCCTAAATTTGTTTTGAACAATAAACTATTTGTCAGACTTGACATAAACCGAAATCTCACTATACCACACATTCTCCCCACTTTCATCCATTAATTTTATCTTGGCTGACTAATTCCAATGTAAAGTCTTTCTTGTATCCCCTCCCTAGAATGTATTTTAGTTTACGTAAAATGTCAACAAAAATATTGTTTTTTAATAAGTCTATATGATTATATAATTTTGCTTTTTCTTCACGTAAATTAGAAAAAAGTTACCAGTTAGAGCAATTCTTTTATTCTTTCCATGTAGAGTACACTGTACTGCACTTTATTTAAATTTAAGCTATATCCAGTTTGCATGCATTGCATAATCTAATAATACAAACCAACATATTTCCACTATACTTGAAGGGTAATCTATCATTGGACTCTGTTCTCTCAGGTTCCAAGTTTCACCAGACTAAAAGGAGCAAGGACACTTCTAGTAGGTCAAAACAAGAACACTACTAGTAGGTCATTACAAGGACGCTTCTAGTAGGTCAGAACAAGAACGCTACTAGTAGGTCATTACAAGGACACTTATAGTCGGTCAGAACAAGAACGCTACTAGTAGGTCATTACAAGAACGCTTCTAGTAGGTCAGAACAAGAATACTACTAGAAAGGTTAGTACAAGAACACTTCTTGTAGGTTAAAACAGAAACACTCTTAGTAGGTCAGAACAAGAACACTACTAGTAGGCATTAAAAAGACTCTTCTAGTAGGTCAGAACAAGAACACTACTAGAAAGGTCAGTACAAGGACACTTCTGGTAGGCTAAAACAGAAACACTCCTAGTAGGTCAGAACAAGAACACTACTAGTAGGTCATTACACGGACGCTTCTAGTAGGTCAGAACAAGAACACTACTAGTAGGTCATTACAAGGACACTTCTAGTAGGTCATTACAAGAACACTACTAGTAGGTCATTACAAGGACACTTCTAGTACATCAGAACAAGAACACTACTAGTAGGTCATTACAAGGACACTTCTAGTAGGTCAGAACAAGAACACTACTAGTAGGTCATTACAAGGACACTTCTAGTAGGTCAGAACAAGAACACTACTAGTAGGTCATTACAAGGACGCTTCTAGTGCGTCAGAACAAGAACACTTCTTGTAGGTAATTGCAAGGACGCTTCTAGTAGGTCAGAACAAGAACACTATTAGCAGGTCATTGCAAGGATGCTTCTAGTAGGTCAGAACAAGAACACTACTGTAGGTCATTACAAGGACACTTCTGTAGGTCAGAACAAGAACACTACTGTAGGTCATTACAAGGACACTTCTAGTACGTCAAAACAAGAACACCACTAGTAGATCATTACACTGACGCTTCTAGTGGGTCAGAACAAGAACACTACAATTGTAGGTCATTACAAGGACACTTCTTGTAGGTCAAAATAGAAACACTAATAGTAAGTCATCACAAGGACACTCCTAGTAGGTCAGAACAAGAACACTACAAGTAGGTCATTACACGGACACTTCTAGGAGGTCAATATACAAAGGCACTTCTTGTCCGTCAGAACAGAAACACTAATAGTAGGTCATAACAAGGACACATCTAGTAAGTCAGAACAAGTACACCACTAGTAGGTCATTACAAGGACACTTCTAGAAAGTCAGAACAAGAACACTACTAGTAGTTCAGTTCAAGATCACTTCTAGGAGTTTAGTATAAGGACACTTCTAAAGGACAGTACAAAGACACTTTATTAGGTCAGTACAAGAACATTTCTAGGAGGTCAGCACAAGAACATTTCTAGGAGGTCGGTACAAGAACATTTCTAGGAGGTCAGTACAATATCACTTCGAGGAGTTTAGTACAAAGACACTTATATGAGGTCAGTAGAAGAACATTTCTAGGAGTTCAGTACAATATCACTTCGAGGAGTTTAGTGTTAAGACACTTAAATGAGGTCAGTAGAAGAACATTCCTAGGAGTTCAGTACATGAACACAAAGACACCTTTACTTTCACAAAGTTAGCGATCTTATCTCATACAACTATCTTTTGAGTCCTGGTTTTTATGGTGCTCTCTGTATGGTGTTGTCAAGCATGTTTGTTTACGAGCTAATATAGAAGAAAAGTTCTGTTTTGCATTCTTTAGCATTTTCTTTACTTGTTTCATTTTCAGCAGAACAATCCTATTTTCTCGAAATAATTCAATTAATTTGAGGAAATTGGACATTTCTCTCTTGTGTTCTCTATACATACACAGGGTGATATACAACAACAACACAACACAGTATACAAGTACACAACAAGTACACAACAAGTACACAGCAAGTACATTTCTCTCTCGTGTTCTCTAGACATACACAGAGTGATAAACAACAACACCACATCACAGCACACAACAAGTACACAACAAGTACATTTCTCTGTCGTGTTCTCTATACATACACAGGGTGATATACAACAACAACACATCACAGTACACAACAAGTACACAACAAGTATTCAACCAGTACACAAGTACACAACCATTACAAAAGTACACAACCAGTACACAACAAGTACATTTCTCTCTCGTGTTCTCTATACATACACAGGGTGATATACAACAACAACACATCACAGTAAACAAGAAGTACACAACCAGTACACAACAAGTACACAACCACTACACAACAAGTACATTTCTCTCTCGTGTTCTCTATACATACACAGGGTGATATACAACAACAACACATCACAGTAAACAAGAAGTACACAACTAGTACACAACAAGTACACAACCACTACACAACAAGTACATTTCTCTCTCGTGTTCTCTATACATACACAGGTGATATACAACACATCACAGTTCACAACAAGTACACAACAAGTACACAACAAGTACACAACAAGTATGTAAAAATAACACATTTTTTATCTGACATATATATAGGGCTCGACAAACAGTGGTGATTATTTTTAAAGACATAATGTGATCTATCAAAGTAAAGAATAAATAGAAAAGAAATGTGCCGGCACACTCTCCACTAAACACTACTATATCTTCGATTACTGCAGAACGCATCAAAAGCTTAGTTGAGGGTGTGCAGTCAAGGACTTCATATTATATATAACAATCCAACTTGAATATGAAATATTTTAAACCAGAATAAGCACAAAATTCAGTGCTTAAATACTAAAAAATAGCTGGATGGTTGTAAAACATTGTAGCAATAAAAGTATTTATTACGATGAACATGATTACCTCAAATTGCAGTACAGGCGGTAAAGAGTCTAAATGGTTGGTTTTTATTACTTTTTCATTGAAGTGGAACACTGGGGATATAATTTTCAACAAAGTTTGCAATACTTTCTTATGTTCCCTGTAATTTGTACGCTAAGATCAAAATAAAACCGTTTAATCTTTAATAAAATCTTCACAAAACCCCTTTCAAAACTTTAATAAAACCTATATTGAACCGTCATCACTTCTCATTTAATAATAACATAAATCTGAACTTAATCTGTAAAATTAACAATACATGCTACGACACAACTTTGAATTTAAATATTTGTAATTGTATATGGATGGGGGTTGAGCGAACTATACGTATAAAAACCTACCGCCGGTTTAACTCTTTCCTTATACTGACAGTAAGTAGTTCAGCGACGCAGCTCAAATTCATAAAATTCGGTCCCTAGGCTATTATTAGGGCTAGACACGTTAGTATTATTTTCATTTCTTCCGTTTTATTTAGTTTAATCATTGACTTATCGAATTTTTGTTTGTCAAAAGTTTTCCCATTATTTAATAAAATGGTTTGTTGCCGGAACTTAGCCCTACTATGTCTACAGATCACCCCCCCCCTCTCCAATTATGTAACCTACAGAAAGTATTCCCGGTCCACTACTGACATGTTGAAAACATGATCCTTGATGTAATCTTCTCTGTACTGTTTTAGCAAATCAAAATGAAAAATAAAATAAAACTTTAACAGGAGTAATGTGCATAATTAAATATACAACTTCCCGATAAAACAAATTCAACATCTTGATTTAAACCTAGAATAAAACCAATCCTGCAGTATACATATACATATATACACACTATACAGGGTGTCCGTTTTATCTTGCCAATTTTCAAATTTCTGACACTTTGTTGTTCTAAATTTTTCCAATCTGTAAAAAAATTGGAGTAATCAAAATATGAACGTATTGTTTTATAACTGGATTCACTTCTTTTTCGTAAACAAGTGTTAAAAATTACCGCCATTTTCTTAAATGCATAATTCAGCTCAAGTCCGAAAATTGACTAAAACTCTTGACAAGTATTTCGGCCGGGTTGACTTTGAAGAGTAATAACTCAACAACGAAAGGAGGCATAGGTATCTGAGGTAGCTCTCGACCTTTGGTATCTTCGTGCAAAAGAAGTTTTATCTAACCCGCTTACCCAAAGAAAGGTGAAACTGCGCGTGAAACGTTTTATCGAAAAACCTGTGTACAGGAAAACTGAATGTGTTTTTTTCTGCAACACATGTTGCGGATATTTTGTATATATTGCAAAAAGTTCAAATTACAGTTGCTCAAATATTTTTACAGATTGTAAAAATTCCAAAAAATGACAGAGATAGCGGTCTAAAAATTGTCAGAATTTATCGGACATATATATATATATATGTATACATAAATTACTTGGCTTCTAGAGCACTTGTACGCCCCTTCTGTAACAACTTAGATGTTGCTTTTCTTTACAAACGTTCTGTCTTTGTAATACTAAAAAATAACAATATTTCCCATCCCTTCACGTGAGATCCTAAAAAAAATTTCGGCCCGAAGACGCGATATGTTCAACCGATTTGATGTTTAGTAGATGCAAACAAACACTCAGCCACGCCAAATATATGCATTGTTATCACTGTATAAATCCACCCCCCTCCCCATCTCCGAGTTTTTATCTTAAATTAATTAACTGACTTTGACTTATTTGATATTGATTGTAGCGCAATATTAGATTCTAGTGAAGTGGTTTAGATTAAAAATAAATAGAAGAAGATTGATTGAAGCAAGAGATTTACTAATAATTAATTTAGTATTGGCAGTCCATGTATCCGTCAGGGACGGGGTAAGCACATTTTTATCCATGTTTTAAATAGAAAAGGCTCTTATAAGTTAAACTATTTTTAATAATATCGGGGGGGGGGGGGGGTTTCTCCCTGTATGTTTGCTGTACTATGTCCGAAACTCTTCTTAAAAAGGTCCCTATCTTATTTCTTCTTTATATTTGTACTCCTTAGGGTCTTTAGTAGAAGTTTGGATGCACACAAGTTTAGCGTTAAAAAACCTTCTCTTCAAAGCACCCCCCGGCCCCCTCTCCCCCCTCCAGACCTTTTCTGTTTAGCTGGTTAAGAAAGATGAAAGAAGACTAAAACCTAGTTTTGAACTTTAAATGAAGGATGGTTTTATTTTGTTTGAGTTCTAATTAACTCCTAACGAAGAACGCTTTGAGAAAACTAATGAGGACAACGTTCTAAACAAACTTTTTTAAAACGGAATTATTTTCTACAATCCTCCTAAGGCTGCAGTGCATGTATTACGTTGGTCAAACATTTATGTGTCCTTAATTCGTTTTTGCTATTCATAAATATTAAAAGATGATGAAAATTTAATCACTTCATTTTTTCTTACAAAAAATATACTGTACCTGACGAGAGAATTCATAAAAATGTAAAAAATGAAAATGATCAAGTTTGGTATCAAAGTTTTCACAGTTCCGGCTTCTCCAAAGTTATGAAAACAAAGTTTAAATTCAACAAAAACATCCACAGGAAAAGTTTAAATTTCAAATTTTCCCAAATGTAGTACGAAAAAAAATTTCTCCCCCACAGTATTTAAAAAACAAAAAAGATCATGGTATTTAAAAAGATATTTATTCTATGGAAGTACTAGCCAGCTAAAGCATGAAATCAGCCCCTCTATGGAAGTTATGGCCAGCTAAAGCATGAAATCAGCCCCTCTATGGAAGTTATGGCCAGTTAAAGCATGAAATCAGCCCCTCTATGGAAGTTATGGCCAGCCAAAGCATGAAATCAGCCCCTCTATGGAAATTATGGCCAGCTAAAGCATGAAATCAGCCCCTCTGTGGAAATTGAAATTATGGCCAGCTAAAGCATGCCAGGTCGGGCCATAACTTAAAGGGCCATAACTCAGTAACCAGAGTTCATAGTTGTGTGCAAAATATGAAGAAAATTAATGACATTGACTGGCTGAGTTCATAAAGAATGACCCAAATAGTAAATTATTTACCATCTGAAGAAAGTTGTCTTGAAGCAATCTGTAGAATAAGGTTTCATTCCTGTCCTGTACACTCTGCAGTACCTTCCACTTCCTAGATATATGTAAATCCAACATTGCTATACTGTACACTCTGCAATACCTTCCACTTCCTAGATATATGTACATCAAATATTACTATCCTGTACACTCTGCAGTACCTTCCACTTCCTAGATATATGTACATCAAATATTGCTATCCTGTACACTCTGCAGTACCTTCCACTTCCTAGATATATGTACATCAAATATTACTATCCTGTACACTCTGCAGTACCTTCCACTTCCTAGATATATGTACATTAAATATTGCTATCCTGTACACTCTGCAGTACCTTCCACTTCCCAGATATATGTACATCAAATATTACTATCCTGTACACTCTGCTGTACCTTCCACTTCCTAGATATATGTACATCAAATATTACTATCCTGTACACTATGCAGTGGTTTACACTTCCTAGATATATGTACATCAAATATTGCTATCTTGTACACGATGCAGTACCTTGCTATACTGTTCAATATGCAGCACCTTCCACTTCCTATATATATGTTCATCAAATATTGCTATCCTATACACTATGCAATACCTTCCACTTCCTAGATATATGTACATCAAATATTGATATCCAGTACAATATGCAGTACCTTCCACTTCCTAGATATATGTACATCAAATATTGCTATCCTGTACACTATGCAGTACCTAATGAATACTATGCAGTTCTTTACACTTAGTAGATATGTGTACAATACAAACTAAACATTCCTTTCGTGTACGCCCTGGAATCCTTTCAAATAACCAATTATTACCAAAATCTAGTATTCTTGTGTACTTTTTACTTAAAATTATATGATAAAAACTAGTACGCTCTGCAATACTTTTTACTTTCTTTATTATTCTACAAAATAAATCAAGTCTGGTGACTAACTACCCTACGATTTAACAACACTTTTAATTTTATCCAGAAATTGAGTAAATTCTTCCTGGGTTTTAATCCAATGGATTGATGACAGATTTTACGATTTATCTTCTTCATTTCACGTGGAATTCAGATTTCCTTCAAAAACAGATTTCTTTCGAAATCAGATTTCCTTCGAAATCAGATTTCCTTCTAAATCAGATTTCCTTCGAAATCAGATTTCTTTCGAAATCCAATCAAGATAATAGCACTTTGATGAACTCATATCCTAAGATTGAGAACAGTGCTTAGGATCCGGATCTATTGGACAATTTACTTCAGCACACATTTTAAGCGTCTATCAATTAGAAATCTGATAATTATTATTATTATTATTAAAGGACAACCCATCATTCAATGAAATAGGGGTCGGCGCTCCTAACCGTCGAAACAACGTATCCACCTTCTTCGCCATAAATTGGTATGTCAAGTTTCTGCATATAAATTTTCAAAATAGGAAAAACATTTAAGAAATATTTTTCTGGCAAAAGAAATGGATCCTAATCACTAATTGAGGTAGTTAAAAAATGGCAAAAATTTAAATAATTGAAATTTCTTCGATAAATAAAAAAATGACATCAATAGTTAAAAAGAAAATATATTGGTTTACATTACCTAATATTGTCGGGATTTACCCCACTTTTGATAATCTCATCATCAGGTTCCTAGATTAATAAATAATTATTTTAGTTTTTAAAATGTTTGTTTTTAATTTTGCAAACAACCCAAGTTCATAGTGTTTTAAAAAATTGAATATGACATGATGATTCTAAAATCTAAGATTTATGTTTAAAAAATCCAAATTGCTTTGTATTCCGTAATATAAAACTTAAGAGTCCCAAAAATTAAACCGAAACCATAACTATAAACTCAAAATTATGCCGAATTTTGTACACTCATTTTTCAAGCACAATTCTAGTTATTTTAACCCAGCCGTGGGTTCAGTTTATAAAAATAATTACTAGTTCACTTTAACATGTAAGTTTGCAAGTAAGCATAAGTCTAAAACGAATTTTATCTGGTGATATCTATTTTTAAATGTTGCTCAATATACAAGTAGTAATTTGATTGTCTTCAATGCTTAAATATAATTATTGATTTTATTTTTTTTATTCTAATTTTAGATAGAGGACCTGAACACTTTTTAAATCAAAGTTTTGAGTATCAAAGGTTTACACCATTATTTTGCAAAGATCTAGAGATTGAAAAACTAGGTTTAAGGTATCAATCTCGCTTTCATTTCTTGGCGAGCACTCCCCTTTAGAAACTTTTCAGTCGGTTTCATCATTCTGGAGAAAATGAAAAATTTGTAGACTCTGCTAGACAAATTCAGCGAGTTTTTGTTTAGAACAATAATTCATGTTTCTTGTGAGATACAACATTGTATAATATATTTTAAAGCAGACTGTATACACTTTACAAGATTAAATTCTAGATAAATTCCATCAGAAGTGTTTAAAAAATAAATAATTACCCTTTCAGCTCTGGCTGCCCAGCCGAGTTTAAACTCCTCCATTATAACACTCTCTTGCTCTGACAGATTCAATCTCAAGTTTACATTTAATTAAAACTACGAAGTATTTATATAATATACTTAACTTTTCTGTTTGTTTGTTTGTAACCAAAAATCGTCAAAACGTCTGAACCGATCCTGCCAAACATTTTTGTGGGACCTCACATGACCCCAAGCCAGGTTTATGGATGCTCAGAATTGTAAAAAATGGAATCGACAATATGATTTTTGTAAAATTTAAAAAATCTACGAAAAAAATTGTAAATTCGCAAAATTTTGTATTATTGTTTTATCGAAGAAAAAATGTTAAAAGATTGAGGAACAATCTAAAGTTGAAATCGAAGATGGGCGCGAAGCGCCATGAAAGTCTAGTATTGTATTATTAATAAAAGTTTGAAAATATCTAAATCATTTAAGAACTTGTTTCAAGATCCAGAGAACCCACTACCTAATATCCATCTGTTCAAAAATATCAAATATTTCTAGAATTATGCGCGAGAGGTTGCGTGAATTTTTCTTTCAGAAATGATTTTATATTAGAATTTTTTAAACAAAGATTGCCTGTACTAATCTATATATAAATTTGGCTTGTCTGTTTGTTTATTTGTCTGTCTGTTTGTATCAATAAACGTCAAAACGGCTGAACCGATCGGGCCCAATTTTTTTGTGGGACATCTAGGGACCCTAGGGAAGGTTTATGAAAAATCAAAATTTCAAATTGTCTCCATCAAAATTCGATCGTCATTAAATTTTTAAAAATTTTGAAAATCCGCGAATTTTTTTGTGAAAATCCGCGAATTATTTTTGTTTTGTTTTACGATGTACACAAAGAGAACATGTTTACAATTAATTTAGAAGATGGGCGCGAAGCGCCCTCTAAGGCTAGTATTGTATAAATAAGGAGCCAACATGATGCAAATATGATAACTTGGGTGAATTATATGATACATTTAGTTAAAAAAATACATTTTACAATTACTTAGCATATACCAAGATGTCTCCGTCATTAATAGATCTTAAAGTAACTATAGGCGTAATTTCAAGTGACGAGTCCGATTCTAAATAATACTCTTTAAACCTTTGACAAATCAAGGATCGTCAGACTTATCATCCTTAATATACAGAAACAATTGTAATTGGTGAACACGTGATTTGCAACCTGTTTTATACAGAGTGTCCCAAAAAACATGGAAATTCAGTGACGAATTCGATATCGTCTTTGTTATGAATTAGCATTTTAAGACCTAATTTCAAAGGCCATAATATTATTATGTCTGCTAGAGTTTATTCTATGAAAAGTGTAAAAGACTTTAAAGATGTGTCTATAATGTCTCCACAAGATGAACAGTGAAGACGGACAAGTTTACTCTGAATATTGCAATTTTCATGTTTTACTAAGTGCAACCGTATGCAGTCAAAACATAAACAAACAAAATGTGAACATAGCAGACGAAACTCTTACAGATTACAGCTTTCTCAGTAGGTATCACTATACTAAATCAAAGAATTATTTAAAAAGACGATATCCAATTCGTCACTGAATACCCGTTTAACGGCAATTATTTGATAGATATAACAAATAGTTCTCTGGTCTCAATGATCATTCAAAGGTTTAAAGGGTACCGTTGTGAATCGGGCATTCCCATGTTGACCTGGAGGGTTACTTGACACCCTACGCTTACATCTCTGTCAAGCGTGTATGGATTAATTAAACAATTTTTAAATAAGAGAAATAGTTTAAACATTGAACAACTTAGTTCGATAAGTCACATAATACTTACTGTGTAGGAGGAACAAGACCTCTGATCCCTAGACGATCCCTCTCTGATTTAGGGAACCCCAGTCCCTTGTTGAATATAGGGTCACTCACAAGATTCTTTCCTGCAGGAATTCATCGTTTTATTGATTCCTTTTTTTGCTAAAATATGTTTTTAGATTTATGCTGACTTTTTTTGCTAAAATATGTTAATGTTTTTAGATTTATGCTGACGTTTTTTGCTTAAATGTGTTAATGTTTTTAGATTTATGCTGACTTTTTTTTGGCTAAAATATGTCATTTTTTTAGATTTATGCTGACTTTTTTTTGCTAAAATATGTTAATGTTTTTAGATTTATGCTGACTTTTTTTTGCTAAAATATGTTAATGTTTTTAGATTTATGCTGACTTTTTTGGAAAGAAAAAATTATTTTATAGGAATTTTTTCCATTCGCGTCGGAATTCATTTACTTGAATTAAGTTATTTGTTAAAAATACTTCATAACAAAAAGTAAAATAAAATTTTCTTAAGTTTTTTTTGTGATGATTCTGTTTTCCTTTCTTTCTAACGATCTCCGCCTTTAAGTATTTTCCGCCATGCATTTTTGATGTTATTCCGCATCTTTGTTGCAGATTCACGCTGCTAGCCCTGAAATATTTTATATAATAAAGTTATATTATTTTAGTACAACATAGAACCATCCCGTTTCCTCTGTACATAGTTATCATTATATTTCTAAAAACCCAACTCTAAAAAATGAAGAAAAATAACACCCAAGATACTTGGACAGATAAAAGATAGTTTGGAAATAGAGGAAGTTATTTTTTTTTAAACATCTATCATCTATGATTGACCAGAAGGAATATAATCAACTTAACAACAAATTTTGTTTACTGGCTGAACCCTGTTTCTAATAACTTTTTTAGCTTTCAGCTTTAAATTTATCTGTAAGTCGTTCTGTTTCATGTATTTAAAAATAGTAACTGTGAAACATTTTGCGAAATTACTTGGTAAAGTTTAAATTTCTTCTTCTTTAATTTTTGAGGCGAAATTTTTTATTTTTTATTAGCTATACAAATTAGACACCTCGGTTCAGCCGTTTTGATGCTTACAAAATATGAACAAAACAAGCAAAAAAGTTTAAATTTAGAATTATAGTTGCAATCTAATTTCAGAACTTGAGTTTTAACTAGTAAACTCCGAAGAACCACTGTTCAAGTTCCCAGAGAAAATGAGAAGAGAATTAGAAGAAAATTGAAAGAAAATTAGAAGTTTTGTAAAAAGTTGTTAAACCAATCTCTTGCTTGCAGAGAAGAGAAGAGAAGAAGTTATTCAGAAAATTCTACAATTCGTAACAAAAAGAAACAAAATCAAGTTTATTGATTACTAAAAGAACAGTCTCTGTAATGTCAATATATATTCTAAAGCAGAAAATTACTTTTTACAAGAATGTTTTTGTCTTAAAAAATAAAATAAAAATTTAAGACCAGAACACAAATTAATAACAATTCATATGATCGAATACGTTATCATTGCTTTTCTTGTAAAGTTCTTCAATTGAGACTCTCTGACAAGTGATAATGAATTTATGAAGAAAAACAATGAAGGGAATTAAAAGTGTTCCTAATATTGTCCAAGACAATAAAAGCACGATATCTTCCCCACTATCCGGTAAGGGCATGTAAAGCTTTAATGCTGGGTCAATAGATATCGGTCGACAGTTCTTTTAAAAATAAAATTAGTTAAAAATGAGAGGCCTTCTTCTGCATTTTCATTATATAAATTTATTTTCTCTCGGTAATTCAAGTTCGCCTCATGGGCCCTCAAGTTTCAAACTTTCAAGGAATAAAGTAACTTGAATATTATATTTAGCTAACAGAGCATTCAATGCACTTTGTTAGATAAACAATGAAACGGGATATATTACCCGGAATTCTTGGCGCTACGCACCCTCCTTTTTATTTGTATTTCATGATTTAAGATTATATAAGATAGATGAGGATTACAGTCACTATTTTTTCAAATTTACCGACAATTTCTATAACACTTCTAGAAGCATAAAATTTTCCAAAAATGACAAAGTCTATATAAAAAAATTGACGTGTTGAATCCTGGCTATTTCCTAATAATGATCTTTAGCCAAAAAATGTTCTAGTAAAACTTAAAATTTTATCCCCCCCCCCCCCACTTCGCATACATGACAATTTCGATCCTGTACATTAATTTTTAAAATATAAACTTACAACTGCTCTCAAAATTTCCAAACCCGTAACTTTTTAGATTCACCCTGGACTATGTAAACAATACACATGTTTAACGGTTCTTATCATGTATATCTTAAGTTTGAAGAAGCAATACACACTTTTTAGATTCACCCTGGACTATGTAAACAATACACATGTTTAACGGTTCTTATCATGTATATCTTAAGTTTAAAGAAGCAATACACACTTTTTTTTCGCTAACATATCTATAAATTTATGGCCATTTTTGCAGGCAATATTTGCTCATCGCTTAGAAATATAAACATAACTGCCATAAAATATTGTGTACAGCACTATTTTTTTTTACATTCCGTCCCAGAAACTGCAGAACACTTTATTATTATTATATTCCTTAGCGCATACACATGAAATTAAAATAAAAATTCAAAAGTAAGGAAACATGCATGTTTCTAATACACCAATATTTACTTTTCCTCATTTGAAATTTTTGAACAATTTTTCTAATTTTTTATGCACAGATGTAGGATCGATTAATGGTTGATAAACAAATCTACCAACTTGAGTATTTGGTTGATCGTAGACTGAGACAAGTTGGTTGACACTGTTCCTACGAGGTGTGCCATTTTTGTCTAAACTTTCACCTGAAAAACAATAAGCATTACTTGTATTAAAAAAGTATTTTGGAAACACAGAATGAACAACGAAAACTGACAATATCAGGAAGTATATTCAAAAATAAGTTAAACAATTAATAACTGGAGATATCAGCAAACATGTTTGAAAAAAGGATAAACAATAAACAATTAGAGATATGAGCAACCATATTTTAAAAAAAGGATATACGATAAACAACTCAGCTATTAGTCAGAATATTGGAAAAGGATAAACAATAAACAACTGCAGCTATCAGCCAGAATATAGGAAAAGGATTAACAATAAACAACTGCAGCTATCAGCCAGAATTTTGAAAAAGGATAAACAAAAACAATTGCAGCTATCAGCCAGAATATTTGAAAAGGATAAAAAATTAACAACTGCAGCTATCAGCCAGAATATATTGGAAAAGGATAACCAAAGAACAACTGCAGCTTTTAGCCAGAATATTAGAAAAGGATTAACAATAAACAACTGCAACTATCAGCCAGAATTTTAGAAAAGGATTAACAATAAACAACTGCAGCTATTAGCCAGAATATTGAAAAGGATAAACAATAAACAACTGCAGCTATCAGCCAGAATAGGATAAACAATAAACAACTGCAGGTATCAGCCAGAATATTGGAAAAGGATAAACAATAAACAACTGGAGCTATCAGCCACAATATTAGAAAAGGATGAACAATAAACAACTGCAAATATCATCCAGAATATTGGAAAAGGATAAACAATAAACAACTGCAGCTATCAGCCAGAATATTAGAAAAGGATAAACAATAAACAACTGCAGCTATCAGCCAGATTATTGGAAAAGGATAAACAATAAACTGCAGCTATCAGCCAGAATATTGGAATAAAATAAACAACTGCAGCTATCAGCAAGAATATTGGAAAAGGATAAACAAAGAACAACTGCAGCTATCAGCCAGAATATTGGAAAAGGATAAACAAAGAACAACTGCAGCTTTTAGCCAGAATATTAGAAAAGGATTAACAATAAACAACTGCAACTATCAGCCAGAATTTTAGAAAAGGATTAACAATAAACAACTGCAGCTATTAGCCAGAATATTGAAAAGGATAAACAATAAACAACTGCAGCTATCAGCCAGAATATTGGAAATGGATAAACAATGAACAACTGCAGCTATCAGCCAGAATATTGGAAAAGGATAAACACAATAAACAACTGCAGCTATCAGCCTGAATATTGGAAAAGGATAAACACAATAAACAACTGCAGCTATCAGCCAGAATATTAGAAAAGGATTAACAATAAATAACTGCAGCTAACAGCCAGAATACTGGAAAAGAATAACAATAAACAACTGCAGCTATCAGCCAGAATATTAAAAAAGGATAAACAATATTCAACTGCAGGTATCGGCCAGAATATTGGAAAAGGATAACACATAAAACAACTGATGTCAAATGTGTGCTGTAAGAATGCTTGAAAATGCAGAAAAGCATAAACATGAAGACATGAAAACTCCGTTTATACGTATCTCGCCAGGGATTAAGGAATAGAAGGGAGATATAACTGACGCGGTTCGCCCTACCATAAGATTATACATGCTTTGCAGACAGTACTCTATTTGAATAAGAAATATTTGTCTGATGTACATTGTACAATTACCACGTATACAATAACCTATTCTGAATATTTCTTATACTAATGAAGTACCGTGAGCAAAGCATGTACAATCATATGGTAGGGCGGGCCGCGTCAGTTATATCTCCCTGCTATTCCTTACTCCCTGTATCTCGCCCACTTATCCATTATCTTAATATTAATTAAAGAGAATAGAATATATATTAGAGGGGAATTTAATAGAAAAAAATGTAACACGGCCATTTTGTTGTACTGTTTCCATACTGCAGGTGTACTTCACATATTTATGCTATATAACCTTTTGGGCCGAATGACATAATTTCACATAGACTCTATGCTTTTCACTTTACAAACGACATGATTTTCCGTTATAACTATAAATCAAATGATGTTTTTTATTCACCAAATTCATTATAAAGTTTATTTAACAGTTTAAAAAATTCGAAATTGAAATGGATAGTCTAGGGAACATACTGAATTAATGTACTCTGCACTCTACTGCATATAATTTGTGAACATTTACATGATTTGTACACTTTGAACTCCCTTTCAGACTGAAAGGGACTGAAAAAAATCATACTGAGAGATTCTCTAAATTCCCCTCTAATATATATTCTATTCTCATTGATATTTATTCATCCATTTCTAGAATTAGGCCTCCCCTTCCCCCCTTCCTTCTCTAACCCTGAGATTAGGAATACTTTCTATTCTCCCATGCATGTTGCATACTTTACATTCCTCAATTATTTCATTTTACTCAGCTGATTGGGTATGCAGGGGAATTTTATCAATTTAATATCATGTATTAATACGTACGCTATTTGCTTTGATCAACAATTACACTCATAACACTTAAGAATTTCACAGATTTTGTGCATTAATTATTGGCGAACTTTAAAACTAAAAAAATTGATCTTGAAGCCCTAGAATTTGGAAACAAAAAAGATTTTAAAGCGCTTCAGTGGAAAGGATTAAGAGAATCGTCTTTGCCAGAAGCTCAAAGTTTCTAATTTCTAATAACTTTGGAACCCGGTGATAACAAATTTATTATTACTATCTTAGATTCTTCGGTCTAACAGAATTCATAGGTTGAAATATCTAAGGTCTACGACATTGCGTTAAAAAGATAAAGGAATAAGAATATCGGGGTTTGTGACTAGGACAGAATATGGGCCGAGCGCTGTAGCTAGGACAGGCTAGTGGGCCGGGTGCTGCGGCCACATGATCAATTATATCCATGTGTTACATAAGATATACCATGTACAAAAGGGGATGGTGGAGTGGGCACATTTGATGTAGG